ATGGGAGAAATTATTTACAAATCATATGTCTGATAAGTGTGGTGGTCAGAATATAACAACTCTTAACAAATATGGAAAAGATAACCCAATTATAAATGGGCAAAGTATGCAAGTATACCACACAATATAGAGGAATGGCCAAATGAAGCTCTACATCAGGGAAGATCAAATCAAAACTGCAACAAAATAGCACAAGTGTGGCTGTAAAGAACCAGTGGTAGAGCTTGAAAGGAATACAAAGATAAGTATAAGCAACCCCAAAGTATATTAGATACTGAATGCCAAATGTGTATCTATGTAATAGAATCTGGAGGGCTCCTTTAAAAAAAAAAGAATAAAGCATAGGCATAACTTTCTCTGTCCCACCTGACAGCTCTCAAAATAATGACATGGAGATTTATTATGAAATCTTGGCCTTAACTTAGGCTTGTTATTAACCAGCTCTTATTATGTAACCAATTTATATTAATCTACATTCTGCCATGTGGCTTGTGGCTGTTGCCTCTCCTCCTGCACACCCTGCTTGTTCTGTTTTTCCTCACATCTACTCCAAGCCTAGATTCATTCCTCTGACTTCCCCGCTCTCTGCCCAGAAGTCTCACCTACACCTCCTGCCTAGTTATTTGCCATCTAGCTTTTTATTAGACCAATTAGAAACTCATCTACACACAGTGTACAAACATTCTGTAATATTTCTTCCTTTCTGTCTAAATAAAATGGAAGTTTTTAACTCTAGCATAGTAAAATTATATACATTAAGAACAATTATCAAGCAAGTTTTACAATTATAATGTATAGTCCATATGTATTTTGAAAATTCAGAGACAGACTGTATTATCTATTCTATTTTAATGAGCCCACAGTTTTATATGTAAACCATTTGTTATCATAATTTAAATTACCAACCTAAAATGACCATTTTAGACATCAGAATACTTTCTTAGATGACCTGCTTAGGATTTTACATCTCTCAGCCTTTATAAATTTTACATGTCTTTTGTAAATTTTGTTTTGAATTTGGTAGCAAGAAAATTGGTCTAGTCTTCAACACCTATCAAAGACCTGAGAAAGATATATTACCTGAGTAAACAGAAAGTACAAAGCAAGTGACTTTCAAAACTATAGAAATGACAAAGATATCTGGCTGTCTGGACAGTCGTCCAAGGTTCCTCTGTTATGTTGGGGCATCCATATTTGACCTACAGGCTTAGAATATCTGACAGACTTAGTGAAACAGGAATTTTGAAGGACTGTCCTACCTTGTCTTGGCAAAGTTCAGCCATTGCCTTCTTTTATGCCCTGCTTGTCCAATTTGGACAGCATATAGTCAGCAGTTGAGGCGAGAGCTGTTACTTGCCCAAATAGATGACTTTGCCACAATAAAAGGAAACTGCATATGGAATTTTCTTCAGTTCCCATCATTCTTTTTTGAAGTAAATTGGTACTACCAGGAACAGACATGTCTTACTCTCATGAAAAGCCTTGTGTTATTAAAATATCTTAAATACCATATTGTGTAAGTCTCTGAAATGTTTGACGATCATCTGTTTATTTAAAATATAACTCTGCTTGACCTTGAAAACATACCTAACATGGCCACAAATTTGATTATTATATGACTAAGTACTAATCTGTATTTATTAATTATCCAAAGTAGTTTGTAATAATAACTTTCAAGGACTAGAAATTTACATTACATTGTTAAATGAGCTGCAAAGGTACAGTACCTTAAACAAAATAGAAGCATATATGTATATGTAAATATAAATATATATATATATGTATTTGTTTGTGTATTCATATACACACACATATATGTATATATGTATATAACCTTAAATTTGTATCAATTTACAAAAATATCTTTAGAAAGAGTAGAAACATGTATGGAATATTTTCTAATAAAAATTACCTTCAATTTTTGTCATTATATAAAAATTATACCAATGTTTATTTTTTGAAACTGGTAGTTGTTTTTAGTTCAAAAGTAGACTCAATAATCTATGCATTTTTCCCATCATTTTTACCTTTAGAAAGAGATCCCTGAATCTAATTTTCATTGTTCAGTTTTTTTCCTGACCATGACCACCAACAACTTGCAACCAACCCTCCCTAAATGATGATAAACATCTATAAACCGTTTAATGACCAAAAGCCCCCTGCCTCACCTCTTGTCTTGTTTCTAGGCTGCTTCCTATTCTCTGTGGCTGACAGCATCTTTAGTGGTCCCTGAGAAAATTGGGATAATGGTCAAGTCCTTGGAGAGCTAGCTTTATTATTTTTGTTTAATCTCTGTATGATGAAAAAGTATAGAGCTTATCTGAAGTCTCAGGTAGTCTGTGAGGCTGGACCATCTCAGCTAGCAGCTTTGAAGTTGTTTTGTATGCAGAATTTTGAGTAAACTGCAACAGAGGCATTCTGAGAGGTGGATCACCTGGGCTGCTCATCGTCATTGGTTTTTGGTCTTTTTTTTCCTGAAAACACACAAGCTTTTAATTTACATATATCTGCACTAACACAAGTATGGAATGTGCACTGTGCACAAATCAGTTAAAGATGACTGTTTTTGCCCTATGTTTGAGCAGGTGAAAGGCATCTTTCAACTTTATAAGTCCATTTGTACTGCATAACCAAACTGTAGTACAAATATTTATCCATCCATGTGAAAGGATGACATGTAATAATAAATCATGAGGACTCTGTAGCCATCATGACTTATCCTGTCTCATCCAGTCTCGTAGCTCTTCCCATGTTGAGAGGCCCAGGTTGCACAGTGGCAGTGCCGGCTGGCATGACTTCTCTGTTCATGTGGTTGTGCCTTGTTTTGGAACGCCAAATGTAATGAGTCTTTTCCTGTCCCTCCCCAGTAATGACATGAAAACTTATTATTAATTGTGAAAGCTTGGCCTTAGCTTAGGCTTGTTTTTAACTAGCTCTTAAAACTTAACCCATTTTTATTCATCTGTATGGCAGCTGTTACCTCTCTTTCTGCACATCCAGCTTGTTCTGTATCTCTTTGCTTCTCCCATGAGCCTACATTTATCCCTCTTACTTACTTCTTTGCCTGGAAGTCTCATCTGTACCTCCTGCCTAGCTGTTAGTCGTTTAGTTTTTTTATTACACCAATCACAGAAACACATCTTCACACAGTACACACATATTCTGCAAAACACAGGTACATGGTACAACATAGACCTTAAAATTTTTGCTTTGTGTGAAATAACCCAGACACAGAATTATGCATATTGTTATTCTTCTTTATTTGTACAGATAAACAAGTCTGTACAAACAGAAAGTGCAACAGTCATTGCCTAGGAGAAGGAGGATCTGGGGAAACTAGGCAGTGTATGCTAACAGAAGTGGAGTGGTCCAACATAATGGTAACAGATGTGGATCTGTTAGTATGATAAACCTGCTGAATTGTGTGCTTTAAAGGGTAATGGTGAATCAATCCCACACCAGTTAGGTTTTAAAGAGGTATTTATTTTGGGGGGTAAAACTTACATACACACAAACCGTCAGGAAATGAGCCTAGTCGCTGGAGCAGGAGCCGGCATCAAGCGCCAGAACCAAGAGGCCAAGCCGAGGCTTGCTGCTCTTTTTTAAAGAGAAATATACCACGCCTCAGTGGGCTGGTATTTCAGCGGCTATTGGCTGAAGGAGCACAAGGCGCTCCTGCAGCACTGTGGGCTCGTACTTCAACGACTATTGGCTGAAGGAGCGGAAGGTACTCCCACAGCAAAAGGGCTACTTATACCGTAGTTGAGTTATATTTAAATAAAGATGTTTTATGGAAACAAGAATACTAGGGAGTTGAAAATACAGTATCTGATGATAATTCCCTAAAAGGTATTAACAGCTGTAGTGGTATTTCCTTTGTATTTTAATAAAGCTTACTTGAATATTAGAAGGCAAAATAGCCACACTAATCAGTCATGTGGGCCAGGCAGTGGTGGCACACACCTTTAATCCCAGCAGCCACACTAGTTAGTCATAGAGGCCAGGCAGTGATGCATGCCTTTTATCCCAGCACTAGAGAAGAATATAAGGCAAAATGAGACAGGAACTCGCTCTCTTTCAGTCTGAAGATTTCAAAAAGGAAAGAGCTCTCTAGTGACTGCTTTGCTTTTTCTGATATTCAGGTTGAACCCCAATATCTGTCTTTGTTTTTTTATTATTTGGGCTACAAACAGCCAACCAAAGAGTTCAGATACATAGCGGGGTAATAAGACTTTAAAAAAAAGCTCAGAGACCTACAGAATATGGGATTGGAGTCCAAAATCTATTGCAGAAGAGTAAAATACTTAAAATACTAGGAGACATGTCTTCAGGACATTTGGTGTTGTTTGGGAAAGTTAAAGTTGGTAGGTAGAGGCTTTAGGTAGAGGAAACGTGAGTGGCACTGGGGAGCTGCAGTCATGTCCTGGCATTGTGTGGAGGTCATCCTGAATTGGTTGTTACAAAATGGGCTTTCTTACTATTTGGGGAAGTTGTGAAGTTTTTCTTCTATTTGATGGTAATGGAATATTTCTGTATCCCCTTTTGTTAGCCTAACTAACCTATCATACTGCTCATTAATGTATGCTGTTTACTAAAGACAGTTCCTTAGGTGATCAAGAGAATCCAGTTGGTACTTTAAATTGACCAACGCTACCTAGAATTTTACTGAATGACAAAAGGTTAATCATTGATGCCATATTTAATTAATACCAAAACCTGAATGCTTTCTTCCACTTGTTTCTTATTTTCCAGTTTTGTATTTCTATTTCAGGGAATAATGCTGCTAGAGGTTTTGTTGGGATGGCATAGCACATGTGTATTGCCCAGGGGAATTTGGGTAGTTTAAAAGTATTGATTCTGAATCATGAACAGGGCTGTTTTTGTTTAGTCGTGTCTTCATTGTCTCTCATCAGTGATGATTTTTAGTGTATAGATTGTTAGCCTCTTTGATTAAATTTATTCCTGGGTAACTTTTTGATGACAACTCTATTTGTTTATAGAAATGAAGTCAATGGAATGTAACAGTGATCAGTTACAGGAACTTCAAAAACAAAAGCGTCAACTGTTACAAGAATTATTTACTGTCCAGAAAAAACTTAAAGGTAAAAGCTGCATGAGCCCATTTATCCTGCTAGCAAATAGTGTTATGCATAGGACTGTGATGGGTTGGTATTTAAAGACTCCTTGTCCTAGTGGTTGGTGCTTTTGCTGTTCTACATATGTAGTGGATAGAACACACAAATGAATTAGTTAGCGTTACAGCTGTAATTTGTCTGAGTCATGGGTATTGAGTGTAGACCTGACACAAGCCACACACACACTCTACCCCTGAGCTGTAACCTTGACTCCCATCTTGTCTTGAACTTTCAGCTCTTCTGCCTTAGCTTCTGGAATAGCTGAGAGTATAGCCCTGTACCACCAGGCCTGGTGAGCGCCGATAGTCATTATCTGAATTAGAAATATAAATTTCTAATTAGAAAATAAATTTTCTTTTAATTTGTATTTGATATATACAAAAATAAAGTTTTTCATGAATGACTAAAGATAACTTTTTGTTCAATTCTTAAATGATTATAGAATTTTTTTTAATTGTTTAGTTCTTAAAGATGAAGAGACTGAAGTCATTTATACCACCAAATACTTAGAGGCAGAAAAATTAAAAGTCAAAGAAAAACCTCAACATGATGCTGAATGCTTGAGGTAAGCATCTGTTATTATGTTTATACATAAAATTTAAATGTTTTGGTTTTTGAGACAGGGTTTCTCTGTAGTTTTTGGAGCCTGTCCTGGAACTCACTCTGTAACCAGACTAACCTCAAACTCAAAGAGGTCAGTCTGCCTTTGCTTCCCGAGTGCTGGGATTAAAGGCATGTGCTACCACCACATGACTGACAGTATTTTTTAAGGTAAATAGATTTCACTGTAAAGCTGGGAGTGTGTTTTTAAAGCCCTGGATAAAGATATCATTTTCATCAATGTGTATCCTGAAACTTACTGATAGACAAACCCTCCCTTGGCCAGAACATGCTACATGTCAGTTCACAATACACAGGACATAGCGAGGAATTCAGTCTTACTTTCTAGATTTTGACTAAACCTGGTATATACTGTTGTTTTAGAGACATACATTCCTATGAGTTTTTAATCCATAAATTAGGTACAGTAAGTGATAACAACCAATAATAAATAGAATAGTTATAATATTATACAATAAGTTATTTAAATTATATGAATTGTTTATTTCTGGGATTTTCCAGTTAATATTTTCAGATTAAGTTGAATGAGAAGATCAGACTCTAGTTAACTGAAACTCGAGGTAGAGAGACTTGTGGCGAAGGGGTGCGCACACATGCGTGTGTGTGTAAAATTCTTTTATGAGGATTATGGCTCTTTTTTTCTCTGCTGCTTCAAACCTGTCAAGCCTTCACCCACCCAATCCACCCCCACAGTTTGCTACTATTCCTTATGGGATGTTTCTTGAAATTTTCCACTTCTGTTTCCATTGCTTTTACCCAAGTTCAAGCAACCACTTTGTCTCTCTCACTGGATCTCAGTCACAATCCTTTTCCTGCTTGCCTTGCCTACACTCTGGTAGCCCCCGGTCTATGGTAAATTGAATCCCTTCATTCCTCTTTTGCTAACACTATTCACTGACTTCCTAACAAACATAATAAAACCTAAAGTCCTTGTGGCCTAAATGACCTCAATATGGCCCCTTTTTTCTCTGCTACTTCAAACCTGCCAAGCTCTCCTCCATCTAAAGACCTTTGTAACCTACTCTTTGTCTCACCTCTGCAAGTTTTTAGGTTGCCTGCTTACCTGTCCTTGGTGAGAAGTAACCCTGCCTAGGTATCAGTTGAAATATATTTTTAGATAATCCTCCTTTCTATTTTTAAATCATGTCAACTGTTATTTTTGCCAGTAATGTCCTGCAGTTTTCCTTTATAGTGCATTCTGTCTTTTAATTGCATGCATGATTTCGTCAATGTCCAGTTAAACTGTGTACCGACTAAGAAATACCTTGTTTACTCTGGGCACTAGTGCTACTTACAGTTTAATACTGTGGGAGATGCTAGTGTTCAATAAATAGAGAGAAGTGAGTGAATTAATGAATTATGGAAGTTTCCTCCATAACAAAAGAACTTTCTTTTGTTCTCAGTGCTTAGACCTTGTTATATCCTGTGCTGTAGTGATGTGTTCTTCTGTTTCAGCAGTCTAGGGACCCCTTGTGTTTCTTTGTAGCACTGCCCAGGTATGTGGGGCCTGACACACACTTGTCTCATTATATACCCACAGCTGACTGCGAAACTCATTATTCTCCTGCCTCCTCCTCCCACGTGCTGGAATGATTTGTATGTGCCCCGTGGCAGTATTTTGGGTTTTCTTCTTCACTCTAAATAGCACAAATAACAAAACAGACCACGTTAAGTGTTTCTGCATTTTTGAAAAAAAAAGCCAATAAAACTTCTTTTCTGAGTGATTTTACATCTTGTATAACCAGTATTTGTATGTGTTTGGTACAACAAGAAGCTTGCGCTAGAAAGAAATCTAAAAGTCAACATGAGATTATTCATTTTTGAATACTTAAAAGATAATGTGGGTTTATGAAGAGCTTTTGCAATGAAAAATGCACAAAATTAATTTGTTTCTGCTACTGAGAAACTCTGAGCACATTTCTAGGTGGAAGTAAAGCCCTTCAGAGCCCCTTCCGTGGTCATCCAGTTCAGCTGCTCAGAGAAGACCCAGTGGTGGTCCTAGATTCATAAGATACACAAACACACTGTGGGGTTGAAATACTCTCAAACTGTGTAGCAGATGTGCTGATAAATATGCATTTTATATACATGTCCACAAATATGTATGCATATTTAAAACATGGAAGTATGATATTTTGTTTGAAGAAAAACATTTAAACAAATAGTAATGTAAAAGATCACTCTGTTGCATGAAGCATGACAATTTTTTAAAGTTTTATGAACATCCTATTTGGATTATATGCATTTTTCTTTCTGTGTCCATGTGTGTAAGCATTTGGATGCATATGTGTTCACATGTATTTATAACAGTTAGGTCATGGTGTCACATGTACTGCTTGATAGTTTGTTTCATTATTTGACTAGGTGTTATAGACATTCTCCACACTAGTTTGAATTGGTGAGCTTCATGATTTAAACGATATTGTCTGTTTTTAAACAGCCATGACTATGTATATTTTTATAAACATGTCCTTAACTGCTTGCAGGAATATTCCTGACATTATTTAGAATAAGTAGCAGAGTAATGGGAAATGTTATCTTGCTGTACTGATTAATTTTATGTCAACTTGACAAGGCTATAATCATTTGAGAGGAGGAAACACTGACTGAGAAAATGCCTCCATAAGATCAGGCTGTACGCAAGCCTGTAGAACATTTTCTTAATTAATGATTAATGTGGGAAGGTGCAGCCCATTGTGGGTGCTGTCATTCCTGGGCTGGTGGTCCTGGGTTCCATAAGAAAGCAGGCTGAGCGAGGCATGAAGAACAAGCCAGTAAGCAGCACCTGTCCATGGCCTGTGCATTGGATCTGCCTCCAGGTTCTTGTCCTCGAGTTCCTGCCCTCACTGCTGTTCATATTGAACTGTACATGGAACCCTTTCTCTCCAAGTTGCTTTTTAGGTCATGGTGTTTCATCATAGCAGTAGTAACCCTAACAAACAGGTCAGTCTTCATTTACAGAATATTGCACATTCACTTGTTCCTTCTTATAAGAATCAGTGCAAAGTTTACAGGTATAAAGAGGTCTTTTCTCAGAAGTTTCTGCAAAATTATAGTCTAATAATTGTATCTGAAGCCAATCCATATTGTCTTTCTCTTTTAAAAACATTTATAGTAGATGAAAATTCTCATTTAGTTTCAAGATCATTTGTGACTTTCTTTTTGTTGAAGACTTCTGTTAACTCTGCAGCTTTCTTGGTAGAACTTCATTATTTCTTCACTAACAGAAGTGTCTCCCCAGCATTGAGTATGTAGCTTCAAGCTGGGAGAGATCCTGTTTTGTCAAGTCTTGGCACATGCTCCAGTTACTAAAGATTGTACATAAATACAGAGGAAGTTTGGTGTTAGATTCAATTAATTTCAAAGTTATATTCTGTTATGAATGTACCCATTTACCTCTGAAATTAAAAAATAGTATTTACAAATAATATGTAACATTGCAATGATCTGTTTGTGTTTAAATACTTTAACCCCTGTGCTCAGGTGGCAGAGGCAAAAGGGTCTCTGCGTTCAAGGCCTACTCAGTCTACTTAGTGAGTTTCAGGCCAGCAAAAGCTATATAGTGAGATGCTGTTTCATAAAAGATGGGAAAGACAATGTGGAAGCCAGCCACACCAGCCTGCCTTATCCTCACTCACTCCTTCTCTGAGGGCTTCCATAGGCCTGAGTTGATGGCAGAACCTGGACTAAGGGAAACAGGGACAACTGACCGTGCCTCTTTCATAATTCACTTTTCATATTCATTTTCATAAATAAATTATATTGAAGATGGATGCTCAAAAATGATCCCACACTAACTCAGAATTGAGTATAATAAAGGGTTATTTATTTAGGGGTAGACTCACAGATCACAGTCCTCTGCAAGAATGGGGAACAGGAACCAAATCCAGCAGCCGGAAGAGAGAGCAAGTATGCACTTTACATTGGCATTTATAGAATAAGAGGCCATGCCCAAGTGGACTGGTATCTTAAAGGCTACTAGCCGAAGGAGTTTTTACAGCACCCTCCTTCTGTTTAAATAAAAGAGTTTCAAACCCTATATAGAACTATATAAAATAAGAACAGATATCAAATATAAACAATATCAAGGAAGAAACATGCTGAATATTTGAATAATTATCCTATCCTAAGGAGTCTAAGTCTTGTATTAGATATAGCTTGTCCAGGTCATGAGAGGAAAGTAACTACAACTATCTAGTCTTCAACCCCATAGAAGGCCTGAGAAGGGAGATAATATTAATTGAATAAACAGGAAGTGCAATCAGGCAACTTCCAAAATGTATAACAAATGACAGAGACATACTACTAATAATAGTAATAGTATGCATAAGCTCACACTAATCTACCTATTATCCTATCCAATTTCTTTTTTTTCCTTTTTTTTCAAAGATTTTCCTGAGCCTATATAAATTTCACCCATCCCCAAATCTGTTGGCTGAGATTTTCTGTCCTGCCCAGTTCTGCAGCTGTTAAGTCCCAAAGAATCACACAGAGGTCTACATTAGTTATAAACGGATTGGGCCATTAGTTCAGGCTTCTTATTAATTTTTATAACTTACATTAGCCCATAATTCTTGTCTATGTTAGCCACGTGGCTTGGTACCTTTTTTGGTGAGGCAGTCACATTTTGCTTCCTCTGTGGCTAGGTCACAACTGCAGACTGCTACTTCCCTCTTCACAGAATTCTGGTTGCCCTGCCTCTACTTTCTGCCTGGTCACCCCGCCTGGTTACTGGCCAATCAGCATTTTATTAAAATAATACAAGTGACATGATAAAAGACCATTGTCCCACAGCACCCCTCCCTTTTTTAAAAAAAAATAAAAGCCAAGGATTCTGAATCTAATATCCTTTACTTAAGCTTTTCTCCTGACCATTATCTATAACAACTTGTAACCAACACTCTAAACAGGAAAATATCCATAGTCCATTTTGGGGGGGAATGT